CCACCTTTTGTAAAATGTAGTTAAGCTGATTTGGTACATATCAACTGTTTTCTCCTCCATCCACCTACACACAGTGACACTGAAAGAATTTACTTCCATACTTCAGGCTTTTCACTCATCAGCTAGTTATATACAATCAGCAACAACACCTAGCCAGCTCACATCAAACTATTTTTACCAATAATTTGCCCTTTTTATGAGATTTCTGTTATTTGGGTTCAAATTCATAAGTGTAAAATAACTTACTTAGTTACTTATTTAATGCATAGCTTGCAACAGTCAACAAGAACTATTAATGCACAGTCAATAGGAGATCACAGGAGTTATAGTTAACACACATGATGTACAGCATCCATTTATATAATAAGTCAATCAAGACTGGTCATTTATTTACTTAGAGAGACATCCAATGTTACAAGTTTATATTACAGTTATCTTTTATAAAATTCAGTGTCTTTTAGGGTGATATCACAAACAACCGGTTATTTAATAAAGGAAAACATTGTCAACCAATTCAGGATGGCAATAATAAGCAACCATGGTTAATGTCAAACAATCAAGGGTGACATCACCAAGGAGTGAAAGATGACGTCAACTATTTGGTGTAACTGAGGAGTCAGGCTTAGATTTATTACCTTGTGTTACTTGGAAGGTAAATGTAGGCTTAGATTAATATGTTAATATAAGGGGAGATAGGCATAGATAATTATGTTACCCTGTGGGTGTGATACTGAGGAGTCAGGCCTACATTTGTTACCCTGTGTAACTGAAGAGTCATGCGATGATTTGTTTGAGTTCCTTAGGAGGCAGGCCTAGATTTGTTACCTTGTGTAACTGAAGAGTCATGCCTTGATTTGTTTGAGTTCCTTAGGAGGCAGGCCTAGATTTGTTATTCTGTGTAACTGAAGAGTTAGGCGTTGATTTGTTTGAGTTCCTTAGGAGGCAGGCCTAGATTTGTTACCCTGTGTAACTGAAGAGTCATGCCTTGATTTGTTTGAGTTCCTTAGGAGTCAGGCCTACATTTGTTACCCTGTGTAACTGAAGAGTCATGCCTTGATTTGTTTGAGTTCCTTAGGAGGCAGGCCTAGATTTGTTATTCTGTGTAACTGAAGAGTTAGGCGTTGATTTGTTTGAGTTCCTTAGGAG